TCTATATCCCGTCAATAGAACAGAAACTATAAAATAATTATTAGAAAAATTCTAAATTCGGTTCTACATGGCATTATCTCTGTCTTCCTGGTTCTATGTCGTCTTTTCTTCTTATTTCCTTTTCTCTTTCAACTTCGTTTGATTGTATATATTTTGTTAGGGGTTTGTTATGCTTTTTAAATTAGTTTTTTACTTGGGGGGCCTCGGTTGGTGTCATGGAGGTAAGAAAAAAAAGAAAAAAATACTCCTTCTCCACTACCGGCCCAGTTTTTGTTAGTGTGATTATGAGCCTGTTGGGGGGAGGAGAGTTGCCGGTTGAGTCACGGGGGGGAGGGCCCCTCTGCCGCCACCTGCAGGGGATTAGATGTGAGTGTGGGCAGAGGGGATTAATTTTCTTCTACATCTTATTAACAATAATAATCAAGATAAATATTAGCTTTTTTTGACATTCAATTGCTCCTCCTCTTTTCCACCAATCGTCTCCGGCTACGCCTCCCTACCCGTTTTTTTTATCCTCTAGGTCGTCTACCACTTTCGCCCACGTTCAAGCTGGCGCGCCTTCGGCACAATGTCAAGCAAGTGGAGCTGGCACTCTCCCTACGTCACTGCCTTGTGACGCTACCTCACTCGCCAATGCTAACGCGTACATGCTGCTTCTTGCAGCGAGCAGCCCCCCACCGCCTGCCGCTGAAGTTCCAGAAGCCCCACTGAGCGCCCCTTCAGAATGTGGCGATGTAGTTGCCGTCTTAGATCCGTTTTTGTATCTATAGTTGCACGGCGGAGCATGAACGCCTGTGTCTTGCTTAGTTTCTTACTGTCAGTTCTCGGTCATAAAGCTAGCTAGCCAGCCTCTCACAAATTAATAAACGCCTAAATGAACGAGGCGGAGCGCTGCGCAAAAAAAAAAATGGTTATCTATTTCCGAGCGGAGGTAGTATTTAAAAAAAACAAATGTCTTGCACGTTACATTTGTAATCTTCCAAAAAGGACAAGAAAAGTCTACCTAAGGTAGCATTGAGAGCTTTCGTTGCGGGTGGGTAACTATACTATCATTGGTCGAGCCTTTATTTCTAGAACCTCGACAATACTTCGATAGTAGTCGCAAGCCTTTCTCGGCGCCAAAGGAGTCCACAGATCGGGCCCAATTTCGACGAGGTGTTTTCAGCTATTTATCCTGTTCAGGTAGGCCAGATAGCCGTTGTACACCGGTACGTATTTTTCCTTTTCCGACACTTTCAGCAAGTTCGCGATTTTGTTCAACGAGTGGCCGTTCTCATTCCACTTCTTGTACACGTCGTCGGCCGTGTCGAAATCTGCAATGATTTTCTTGGCCAATGCTTTTACTTCCCCTTTTAGCGTCAGATGATATCCTCGCTCTTCCATACTTTCTTTTCGCTCTCGAAGAAATCTTCTGTCGACGGCATCGACGTTCAGTGCTGCACCGAGTGAGTGGACGAGGAGTGATGGCTCCATTCTCGAGAGCTTGGTCTGATCGGAACTCGTAGCCGCGTTACAGGTCACAAAATAGCTGATGACCATCGATGCTGACAGAATCAAGTACAGACGCATTGTTTACAGCGCTTGGACAAGTAAAGCCTTCTGTCGAAAAGGCAAAATGAGGATGCCACCGCTGGAGTTACCGGAATGGCAAGAACTACATGTATCTCTTGACGGTCTCTTCTACTGTAAACCGCACGTTCAGAAGACATGTGACAATACAGAAAACTAACGTTTACGCCGTATTACGACTCGTTAGGGACTAATCAACGGTACAGCAACAGCACAAAAAAGGTAGACAATTTCAAAGTCAAGATAAAAATTTCAAGATTTCGATGAAATTTAACATCCTCGGCCGGAGTCCACCACAGCTTCTGTACAAGTATTTCTGCAGCGCTACAGGCAACAGAACCATTGTTTTTCTAACCGTTAGCGAGGCTGGAGTCCAAGCGCCAATACACGCTACAAATTGTATCATGTAACTCACCAAGTTTTGTCAGAGAACAATAGGTACGAATACAAACCAAATTAAATCTGC